TGCCTCATCTTCCTTCCATGGAGCAGCTGGTGGGTTTGAACTGCTGACCTTCTGATTAGCAGCCAGATGCCTTATCCACTACGCCACCAGAGCTCGCCCTCGCCCTCGCTCTCTCCCTCTCTATATATACACAAAAATAAGACCAAAAATAAAAAAAGTATAGCTAATGATTCATCTGTTATATGCACAAAATTGTTCTGTGACACAGAATACCTGTATTTGTCCCCATTTTGTAAGTGAGAAACTGAGGCACAAGTGACTTGATTAGGTTATATGGTCTCATAAGTACCACATTAGGAAGAAAACACAGACTAACTGATTTAGGTCAATTACCTTCTATCAAACCACATATTCTTTCCCACTCAAAATACTGGGGGTCGGAGGTGGGGTGTGATGACTTCCCTAAGGAAAGGAAGCAAGACTGGGAGAGTTTCATCCAATGATAATTGGTTTAATAAGGTCCAAAGTTCAAAAACAGGCCATTAATAGTGACAGAACAGTAGAGCATATGGTTAAGACAAAGACTCTGCTAGTCCTTCATTGCCTTTATGCTAACTTGAAAAATTCCCATGGCTATAGTGCCCACAAGGGAACCCAGATGGCAAGCAGAGAACCTGCTGCATTTCAGCTGTCACCGAGCCCTTTGCCCGTGCACCCTTGTGCAGTGAATACCCTCCACAACTACACATGGTGGCTCTAGGTTAAAAAGAAAAGAACTCCAGAGTCATGTTGCCTGAGTTGGGAGCTTATGTCCAAAGCAGCTTTACTTACTATGTGACACTGAACGTAAGTCTACTTCTCTACATTTCCTTACTTAGAAAATTGGGACGATCATAGTGCTTACTTCAAATGGTGACTGTAAGGATTCAACAGGAAAATGCTAATGCTCTGCATTGTTAATTATTATAATAAATTTTTATAGTATTATAAATAAATCTTTAAATGGAGTATTCTGCACTCCCCCAAAGTCCTAAAAGTTTCATTCAAACGTACATGAAACATCAACATACAATGAAGGTTTCTAAATGTAAATGTGAAATTATGTGACTGTAAAAAAACCTCATTGCCATTGAGTTGATTACAACTCATAGAGCACCAGTTAGCTGCTAAGTGAAAGGTCAAAAGTTTGAACCCACCATTTGCTCTAAGGGAGAAAGATATGGTAGTCTGCTTCCATAAAGATTTACAGCTTTGCAAACCCTATGGGCAATTCTGCTCTGTCCTACAGGGTCGTTATGAGTAGCTGTGAATACTTGACTGTACTTGATATAAACCCAGAGCAGAAAATAATGAAGCCTATTAAGAGGTATTTATGAGTCATTCATTTATGCTTTCATTTTTGGATTGGAAATGAAGACAAAGACAAGAAAATTGGTTCCTGCTTTTATAAGGAGTTATTAAGCCTGTTTCTCTGAATGCAGAGCAAACAATTTAATGATGTAAATGCCATGTCCTCTAACAAATGAAGAGTCATTTGGAAAGAATTAATCAACTCAATGGCAAAAAGCAAGGCCTATCAGCAAATGGACCTTTTTCCATATAGGAACTGTGACATGTATTTCTACCCACTGAAAATTATGAAAATTCATTTCATTAACACCTCAGGGTCCAGCACCATGCCCAGTACATTCATTACTTGCTACATCAGTGGAGTTCATTGTACTCCTTTAGGAATCAGGAGCAGTAGGCATCTTCCTTAAAGCACTGGGCTGTTAACCAAAAGGTTGGCAGTTCAAACCTGCCAGCGGCTCCGTAGGGAAAAAATGAGGCAGTCTGCTTCTGAAAAGATTTACAGCTTTGGAAACCCTATGAGGTGGTTCTCTTTTGTTGCTTTAAGTCAGAATTGACTCGATAGCAGTGGGTTTGGGTTTTGGGGGTTTTAGACATCTGCCTGCTCATTAGTACCTGTGATTCCTTTAGTCCCAAATTGATGGCAAGTTTCTTTCGGTCTGTTTTGCTGATATATTTCTGCTTCTGAAACATTTTCTCCAGAGCCTTTCTCTGCTCCTCAGAAAAGACAGCTCTTCTTAAAATGCCCCTCCGAGCTTTGGAATTAGAGTCTTGTGTCAGGAGAGGCAGTACAGCATCTTCTCCTGGAAGAAAAAAAAACAAGAGACACAAAGCCCAGTTACCAGCTTTAGAAAGGAGAAGTTGGTCTATTTTTCCCTAAGAAAGTATCCTCCTTCTCTGTACTATGGCTGCATTATCCCTTCTCTGAGCTCTGCACACTTACAGCAATGGTTCTTAACCTCTTTTTTAGTCATGGACTCCACTAAGAATCTGATATAAACCTTTCTTCTTGTGGGGGGAACCTCTCTCCTCTGCTCAAACTGCTTCTTTGTGCAGGTATGAATGATCAAGCTGGGGAAGAAGAAATATACATATAACATAGCTCAATGTCCTTTCTGTAACAACAGACTTCTGCACTCTGTCCTGGTTCAGTCTATGAGCCTGGTACTAGATGATACCTCCCATACAGCCTGTAACGATGTCTTCCAATTCCAGAGTGCCCTTTTCACTTAATATTTGGATTCTGGCATTCTTAGTTATAAAGGTATTTGACCTACCATTACCCAACTGCCATAATTATTAAAAAATAAATAAATAAAATAGTGTGTGTGTGGGGGGGAGATCTCCTGAATATCCATAGATAAGGAAATGCCTAAGAAAATTATGCTATATTCACTTGGTGGAATTTTAAAGAACCATAAAGATGAGGACTGTGAAGAAGATCAGGCAGCAGCACAGAAAATACTTATACCATAGTTTTTTTGGGGGTGGGGAGAGTTCTGGTAGCATAGTGCCTAAGGCATTTGACTGCTAACCAGAAGGTTGGCAGTTCAGACCCACCAGCCATGCCTCGGAAGGAAGGTTGGGCAATCTACTTCCAAAGAGATACCACCTTGGAAACCCAAGGAGGGGTCGCTATGAGTCGGAATCGACTCGACAGCATCAAGTTTGGGTTTTTTTGGTATACAAGTTTTTTTAATAAAATATAATATATGAGATACACACTATGCTTACAACAAGTAAAAAATGCAGAAAAAAAAGACTTAAAAAAGGCAAAAATAAACACAAAGATACGTTACTGTCACAGAATTATAAGGAGTCCTGATGGTACAAGTACAGGACTACTAGTTGCAGCCACTCAGTGGGAGAAAAATAGAAACAAAAAAACCTCACTGCCGTGGAGTCGGATTTGACTCACAGCAACCCCTCCTTGGGTTTCCAAGGTGGGGAGGGGAGCTCTGGTAGCATAGTGCCTAAGGCACTTGACTGCTAACCAGAAGGCTGGAGGTTCAAATCCACCAGCCATTCCTCGGAAGGAAGATGGGGCAATCTACTTCTGTAGTGATACTGCCTCGAAAACCCAAGGAGGGGTCACTATGAGTTGGATCCAAATCGACGGTACATAACAACAACAACACTAAGTAAGTAGATGGCCCAGTCTTCCTGCTGAGGAGTGGCTGGTGGGTTTGAACTGTCAGCCTTCTGGTTAGCAGTCAAATGCACGGTGATTTACTCCCATAAAGATTACAGCCTAGGAAACCCTATGGGGCAGGTCTACTCTGTCATATAAGGTTGTTATGAGTCAGAATCTACTCTATGAGATACAGCAATACAGAATTATAGACAAATAATATCTTTCTGCTTTTAAGTCTGGTTCTATTTTCCAATAACAACAAATATTGTAGCAATTTTTTTGGAAATAAACTGGCAGAGGACCGAGTTAATGAATTTCTTCTAAGTGATGATCAGAGATGAATAGAATCCCTCCCTTAAGGTGCTGACAGTTGGCAAGGCGAGGCACTAAAAGAATACAAACAGCCATAATCAGCAGACCATATCCAGAGGGCATTCATACCCTAGCTAAGAAGCCTTGACATCTGGGAGGCCAAAAGAGTAGGTCCTAAGAGAAGTAGTTAAGAAGAATGTAGTTCCTCTTCCTGGCAGTCTAGAATAAGACAGGCAGAGCTTGTTGTTGTTATGTGCTGTCAAGTCAGACAGGCAGAGCAGAGGGATTAAATTTAGAGGGGCAAGTAGCAGGATGAGGACAAGTGTGAAACATAATGGATCTAGGAATCTCACAGTCTGGTATTTCTGGATTGTAGAGTATGCAAAAGCTGGACAATGAATAAGGAGGATCAAAGAAGAACTGATGCATTTGAATTATGACATTGGCAAAGAATATTGAATACATCATGGAACTGACAGAAGAACAAATAAATCGTCTTGGAAGAAGTACAGATGGAATGCTCCTTAGAAGCAAAGATACCATACTTTGGTCATCTTATCAGGAGGGACCGGTCCCTGGAGAAGAACATCATGCTTGGTAAAGTGGGGGTCAGCCAAAAAAGAGGAAGACCCTCAGTGAGATTAACTGACACAGTGGCTGCAACAACGGGCTCAAACATAGCAACAATTATGAGTATGGCACAGGATCGGGCAGTGTTTCATTCTATTGTACACAGGGCTGCATGGGTCAGAATCAACTCAGTGCCTAACAACACCAACAGGGTATGAGTGGGAAGATCACAGGAGATCAGATGGGAAAGTAGACATACTAAGGCCCAGGGGCAACTGAAACAAGGTATCTCACTGATACCTTGCCACAGTGAGAAGTCTTTCAAGAAGGGCTTTACTATCCTAGCATTTTAGAAAGGAAAATATTTCCTGAGTTATAAATTACTTCATATCAATACATGAAAAAAAAAAAAAAAAA